ATACAGAAGGAATTACACAATGGAGGTCATTTCTAAAACAATCAACATGAACTAATTGGATGTGGGGTATTTTATACTGTATTAACCCATTTAGTTCCCAAAAGCCCCTAACAGCCATCATCTGGTTGAAATTCCAGCTCAAAGTAAAATTCTATGTTGATTATTTTAAATCATAACTTGCTGGCTCTATATTAAATAAAAATTGAATGATTACTTGCACTTGTGAGCCAAAAAGTATTGTCACACCAGACAGAATCCAATAAAACCAGCCAATTCTTTTCCATATCCTTTTGCAATGACCATAGATCAAATTTTCCATATATAAAATGCCTAGTGATATATATGTATTTAAGAGGAACAAATGGCTAAATGGGAATTCTAACTCAACATTAACTTCTGAACAAATTTGATACACTTCATTATAACAATTTTTGAAATACAGTCATCATTTTAAACAGTCTTACATAAACTTCCCCAAGCACTATAATTATACATTCAGTGAAATATTTCAAACTTTCCCTTTGCTTTTCAAAAGTGCACTGGCTGCACATGTCAACTTCTACAACATATAACTTTGGTCATTAAAATGTTGGACCTGAAATTTCTGTTTCAAGTGACAATTTGACTGATCTAAGACTTAGTTTGGCTACAAAAAACATTGTGTTTCAGTCTGAGTATCCACTCTCCCTTTCCAAAAGAATTTGTTACTCCCCTGGTGATGCATGATGGCTATTGTATAATCTTGCACTGCCCAAAAAGAGAGGCTATAGAAGCCAGCCTATACAAGCAGAGATTTATGAAGTGGCAAATATTTGCTTGAGACAATTGCTGACCTCAAAGGAACATCTTCAGGAGCCCAGGCCTGCTGAGCGTTGCCATATGATTCACACACGGATTAGCTCGGAACAAAAGCTGCAGCAACTCTGGTTTTAGAAGGAACTTGGATTCAGGTACATCATCTCAGCTTGACTCCATGTGAAATTTAAATCCAAAGACCATTAATTTCAACATTGTCAGGAGGCAAAAGGGAAGGGAGACATTAGCCTTAAAATATTTAGAAAAGAGCGTTTTAGGATCCCTCTGCAGATTTCCATCTTTCCCAGTGCACCCTCTGCCTTAAGGCAGGACACCAACCCTGACCTCAGAGCTGCTCTGGGTGCACTTCTGATGTGTCTCTGGGGAAGGCAAGTTTAGGCATCAAGCTCATACTGAATTTCCAGGACCTTCCTCCAAAATGCACTCCAAACTCTCAAGGTTTACTAGTACAGAAAAATCCCAATCCAAATCATCCTTAACACAGGCTTGAAGGTGTCACAAAAGCAGGCTACAAAACCAGTGATGGACTTTTTTCAGGTAAAAAAAAAAAAAAAAGCAAAACCAACTTGTCACAGGAAGAAGAGATAACAGCTCCACAAATCCCAGGGCTGGAGAATTAATAAAAGCAGGGCATAAGGAAGTAGTACTGGTTCTCCATAGGGCAATCCATTAAAACTCTATTGATAAACATTCAGGAAGAGAGAAGAAACATTAATCCAAGTCTTCTCATATGTGTGATGTTTGGGGATTTGAAAAGGCTTTGAGATGAGGTTTGTTCATCCAAACTCCTTGCTGAACACTTTCAGATGTCCCACATCCTCTTGCACTTCAGAAGATGCAAGTGCTGCTCATTGCCTTTACATTTTTCAGCATATCACACTATTAGTTTTACATCTTAATTACTGGGGAATATCCTTTTTTTTTTTCAGTGAAATAAATCTTTGGGGTCTAACACTTTCCAGTTGTTTTTTTCAGTGTGCCTGAGTGCCTACACATCAAGCCAACATAATGTGATTACAGTAAGTTTTGTCATAAATGAGGTAGCAAGGGCAACACCAGCAATGAAGATGTGAAACCACTAGATTTGGTGCACCTTGGAAAGCAGAGTGCTCTCAGGGGTCTTTGGAGAGTTTGCCTTCTCACCAACCTGGAACAAGCTAAACCCCTCACTGCAGTGTTTTCACAGCTGCTGTTCCCTCTGTCAGGCAGAGCACACTGCTCTTCCATGTGCTGCAGCAGGAACTGCAGTGGGCTCAGCTACACAATGTGACTAAGTGGGATATTGGGGCAAGCAAAGATTTGGGGTGATTTGTCTGCTTTCAGAGCCTCCATCTATACAAACAAGTAGCTGGGCCATTAGTCCCATGGGCTAATCAGTATTTGATCCACATACATCTCCCTGGCCACAATATAAAGCCTGCAAAGTTGACAATACCCAGCCAGGACTTACATGACACAAGTATAAAGCCTGCAGCTACAGCCACACACTGTTTGTGGTCACTAGTCCTGGCTTCTTAAATCCTTTAAGGCTCTCTGAAAAAGCCAGAGCAGTTCCAGGATTGGAAGCATCTGCGTAAGAACCATTCACAAATCCGAGGTTATCTGGCTCTTCCAACAAAAGATGATGTAAAGCTTTTACAGAAGAGGATGCCCACTGCCTACCTTCATGGAATAGTGATGGATGTTGGGGAGGAATCAGACAAGTGAAAGCAGGTTGCAAGGGGCAGCACCACACCAGACCATCACAGCAGTCCTCTTTTCAGGACTACAATATAAAAAGCCATGAACCATGCACAAGCTAATATATGATCTGTCTTTCATCTAGAGGTGTCTTGGAGGAGTTATACCTGCTGATCTTTCAGTGACTAAATCAGATTGATCAAAGACTTGCTCACATTATAAGCCTTGCCTTTACTTGGTGTTGAAAAACCATATACTAAATAAAAATGGTAAGATCCTGAAATTTGATCTGTATGAGATTATCCCTCTTGCTAAAAGCATGAAACTTTGCCAACTCCTTGGCTGCCAGCCACATAAATCAGCTTCTCATAACTCTTCCTATAGGTCAATCATCATTCATTTCTTTAATCTTTAAGACTAACTTCCACTTTTTCTCCTGTTTCAGCTCAGTGTATATATATGTGTCCTATGTGTAAAGCATTAAGAAATTGAAATAGCTGTTGCCATCAATCTGCTCTGCTTATTCTACATTCGATCTTTGCTGCCTTTTCTAAGATATGCAGCACTTCTCTATATTATTAGAATTCTTGTTATTTACTTAGTTTCTGGATTAAGTGATCCCTTGGTGTTATCTCCAGATTTCTGGGAATGCTTCATCTACACATGCAGTGCACTTCAAAGGCTTGGATGAAAGGCAGGGTGTAACTAATGCTGATAATAGGACAAACTTAGTAAATGTGAAGTAACTAAAAGTGCTCTCAGTGGTTTATTCATGCAAAATCTCTAACAGCAGGCCTGGCAAAAGTACTGACATTTTTGCTCATCTGAATGAAAATTGAAAATAAACTCTACCCAAAAATGTAAATGTCAAACAAGGAAAAACTGCAGAACTAGACACCAACTGAGGACGGGGGAAGAAATTAAGAAGATCAATCTGCAATGACTTAAAATCCTTGGTTACAAAACCCCCCACACCATAAATCCAGGATTTTCTTCACATATTGCAAAACATACATGCCAAATTGTAATTAAGAACTCAAACACTGCTTACTAAATGTACAGTATTTTAATCCTTAGCTGGTGTCACTGATTCAAGCAGTAACATTGTTTGAAGTAGGGCATAAAAGGATGGAATTATAACCACAGACAGAAAAGGGAAACAGTTTGAGTGACTCATTATTGCCTTCATCTTTATTCAAGCACAAAAGCTAATATTATTCATAAAGGCGCAAACGTGGCAATTTTTCTTAATTTAAAGTGGAGCTCAGAGACAAATTGTCAATCCCCACGCAAAAGGGAGTACTGTGACTGTTGGCACCTGTGATCATTCAGGATAAGCTCAGCAGTGATCTGCAGGTTAGTGTTGTGTGAGGAACAGGAAAAGTAATGACAGTGCATGATTCCTGACAGTACACATGAGGAGGGCTGGTGTGTGACACTTGTGCAGCTGCTCTGTGCATGCAGATACCAACAACTCCTTTTCCCTGCAGTATCACAGCCGAAAGACGAACAACTAAGTTGCCTGTGGTGGGAAGTGCATCCACTGCGACAGTGTGAGACTCGTCTGGGAGCGTGGAATCAAAGGGAGCCTGCACCCAAACGGTCAGTGGGCTGCATCAGCCGGCGAAATACTGAATTTTAATTCAAATATGATGAAAAATTGTGACCGGAGGAACTTCGTACATTAAAGCAAGAAGAACTGAGAGACAAATTCATCCCCCCCCCAAATAAACTGTCTTAAAATTGGAATAATTCAGGTGTCTCTTTTTAGATGAAATGACACAAACTTAGGGAGTTTATGTATTAGGCTTTCCCAACTGAGACTGGCAGGAGCTCTGGTAATACATAACACTTTAGGTTCAGCAGATCAAGTGTTTATTTCAATACACACAAAAATTAAATTTTATCATTTTATAGTATGCTGGATTTCACTGAATCACAGCTACTACTTTATCAATGCTGTAGCTGTTTTGAGGGAAATAAACTGCTCTATTTCTGTTATTTATACATCAGCACAGACAAATTTTTCTACATGTGAACATATATGCACAAACACTACATGCACACACTTCTTGTGTACTATGAAGAAAAGCAAGGAGATTTATCTACGGAAAAGTTAATTCAGTTAAATCTGCAGTAAAAGATCAATACTTTATCTCAGGTCCTGCACATCTTGCAATGAACTCCAAAAGCAAACACAATTTTCACGAGCAATCTGGTCTATTCCTACAGTACTTTACAGCCCTTTCCAGATCCTCCCGGCACATCATCTCCCTTTGGTGGATGAGGAAGGAAAACACAGAGGTGAGATTTTTGGGGCTAGAAAAGAAATCAGCAGCTAAATGCAGACCTACAACCCTCCCAGTAAACAAGGCAAGCATCGCATCAGCACCCCTGTCTCAAACATACGTGCCCTACTGGGGAGTGCTGGCCACTTCTGGTTGCCAGCCAGTAAACTTTCCCCCTCCTCAGCGTGAACTCTGATTGTGTGCCAGTTCACTTACCCATGATTATCATTTTTTTCTGTCTGATGAGCGTGGAACAATTGCCCTCCGAGCACTGCTTAGCCAGAGCCGGAAGAACCGTTTGCCTCCAGCCCAGCTGTCGGAGTCTCCATGCAAGATGCTGTGCAAAATGTTGAGTTAAAAGAAAACACGAGTAGGGGGAAAAGAGAGCTCTCTGAGAACCTCCACATGGTTCCTGTTGCTAAGGGAACCACTCCCTTTGTCTGCATAGGTTAGGAATGGCTGCTTCGTTTGGAGTCTGTCTCTTAAGTACCGAAAACAGCACAACAATTTCAGAAAGAAAGAAACAAAAAAAAAACAAACCTCCAGAATATCTTACAACCTAAGGAAAACTGAACTGCCTTGGAATTCTTACATTAAAAGCAGCTATTAATAGTTGATTTGGGTGACTCCAAGGAGGCTGTAGAACTCATCTGTGCCATCTGATGGGACAATACACCACTGCACACAGTTTAATTTACTTATTGTAATCAGGATTTGGGGATCAAGGTAGATGGCTATAGAAAGATAGATCAAGAAATCAGGTCCAGTTAACAGCAGCAAATGGAGAGAGATCAACAGCAAGAAATAAAAGCTTTTAATAGGTATTCATGAGGGACTTGAAGAGAGATGCCTTTACTTACACAGGCTCCTATAAAACTCCAAGCCTGAATCCCTAGCTCTGATTTCTGTAGCTGCTCTTCTCTACTGCCTCTCAGTCCCCAGGCCCAGCACTGCACTGACCGTGTTCCTGAACCCCCAAATATTTGAGAATCTACCTTCTATACAGGCCCATTTGGCTCAGCCCAGTTCAGCATATGGAGTTAGGAATCCCTGTTTCTTGTCTTTGTCCATCCCTGGTTTTAAGGACTGCACCAGGATGTGTACTTCTGAATAAGGCTGATTTCACTGTCAGGCTGAGGTCCTACAGCTTGAGGAGCTAATATAAGTTATCAGGAAGATTGGTACACTGGGAACAGAAACACCTTGAGTGTAACCTCCAACTTTTTCTTTGTTTTAAGAAAATCAATCTCCTTATGAAAATATACAAGCACAACATGCACTGCACAACACAATTGTGTCTTGCTATCTTTCAGCTGACACCAAAAACAGCACCCTGAAATACCGTGAAAGCAATTTTTTTCTGTGGATTTACTTGTTTCAGTACCTCAATATTACAGGGAGACTAATATTACAAAGACTTGGATTCAGATAGAAATTTTCAAGCACAGACTTATCTGAGGCTCTTACCACATCCAGAGAACAATCAGAGAATCGTGTTCCATTATGTCTGGATGAACAGACAGAAGTTCAAAATCTTAGATGATGCACTTCTGCATGGAAAGCAATTTTTTTGTTCCACCAGAGAGCAGCTGTGAGAGCCTGGAATAGTGGAGGGAGGTCAGTTTGGTCTTATGGTAAAGAGTTGAGGTTCACTTTCTGCAAGGTAGAGAGGAGTCAGGGGCAGTGTTCTGTTTTCCAGAGAGCTGAGCTGACTTTCCCCCCCTCAGTGAGGCTGTTGCTTTTAGAGAACACTACTCAGATACGAGTATGAGATGTCTTTTGCTTACACACCACAGTCCAGCACTGACTCTTTGACATAAAGACCTGAAGAACTCAGTTGTCACTTCATTGCACATGTTGAATTGCACTTGCAGCACGATATGTGCTGCAACCCCCCTCCCTTCTTCCTCTCACCCCAGTGAGTCAAATAAAGCAGTCAGGATTGCTTTGTGGAGAGGCCCTTCTGCTCTCCTTTGCAGAAAGATTAGGAGATTAGAGAGGGGCAGTTGAGGGTTCAGTTTAGGGGCATTAGAAAGTGAGGTTGCCATTGCACCATTTATAGCAAGATTTTAATTGGAAACCAATTAAAAGGTTTGTGATTGTATTTGTTATTTTCCCTTCAGAGGCTTGATTTGAATTGCTCAATCCTGTTGTGTGTGCACACACACACTCATCCCATTTTCTCCTTCTCATGGATAGACTGAGGCCAAGGTGGATGCCAGTGAAGGATCTTGGGATTCTGTGCAGCCACATCAAGGGAGACAATGGTTTTTAGGACTGAACTAAAGTTTCTGCCCATAAATTCTTTACCCACTTTTTTCTGCTACTTGCAACCCATGAAATATATTCTTCAGTATAATTACAAGAAGGGCAAACCCACGTGTATTTAGAGCATTCAAAGTTAACTCCCAGCACAATAAAATTCTTCAACACTTCAAATTAATGTTTAGTGAGTCTAACAGTGTGCTTTATCTAAGCCTCTTACAAATATTTGGGTATATAGTGCTATCATTAATTCAGGAACACTCTGCTGATCATTCACATTTTATCACTTCAGAATAAAAAGACAGGGGGAGAAACATCAGGTCTCATTTGTGAAAGAGCCAGGGACAGCAACAATGCAGCCTCCTGCACTACTACACAATGCCCCCCACAAAAGAAAAAAATATATAAATATATTATTTTAACAAAGAAAGGAATTTTCTCTGTTTAGTAGAAATTTTAGCATCTTATACAGGGCATTTACCAGTTTCCCATTATTACAAGAGCAACTTCTTTAACTCACCAGCATTGGGGCTCAGATTTGATGATGAAAATGCAATTTTACACAGAAGGGGAATTCTACTCAGAAACTTTTCCTCTGTGAAATAGTAAGAATTGTATCTATTACTATAAATCCCATCTTCTCAATTTAAAAATAAACTGCATTAACTACTGATGTCCTAAAGAGCCTTTGTTATGCTAATCCAAGGTATTAAGAACAGTCAGAAAAGGAATTAATTAATGGCTACTTGAATCAACTGCTTTTTGTCCCAAATGTGAACACATTGCCCCAGTCAGAAACTGCCTAACACACTGTGATTGAAGTTTATTTATTTACTTACATATAATAAGCAACTGAGCAGCTTGCAGTGCATGGAGTCAGGCTATGGAAAAGTACATTACAGTGCTCCTGCTTCAGGCCCCTCTTAGTCAGAAATTCAGTATATGTGCCTATTTTCTGTTTATTATTCAGCCAAAAACATTGAAACTCTCTATCCCCTCAGTCCACTTAGTGACCAAGAAAAGATTGCCTGCCTTATATAAGGCGGCTTAAGAGGAATTTTTAAAATAAATATTTACAAAGCTCTAAAAATATTATCATGTTTTGTTAAGGTTAAGTGTGTAAACACCGTACCTGTTACAAATATAGATCTTGTTATGTAATGAAAAAGAGAAGCAGATGGAGCTGTTGATAGCCTCGGTGACAATGGAGCAACATGCAGTTGCACAGGAACCAGTATTCCCCTTATAAGGAAAATTTTTCATATTCCCCAATTTTTTATTTTTTTTTTCTCATTTGCAAGTTGGAATTAAAATTCCGACACGAGAAATTTTCCATAGGAGGGTCGTATTTAAAAGACCCTCTATGTTAAAAAAAAAAAAAAAGAAAAAAACCCACACAACACAAAACCCAACCCTTTAGTTTGAATGAACTGACATGGATTTAAATGACCTGTGAGAGTATGTGTAGGGTTGTATGTGCATGTATAAGGTTTCTTGTCCACTTTCGGGAGCCCAGACTCCCATCCCTCCTGGCAGTCTGCCAAGCAGGCCAGGAACGTGGAGAAACTTGACTTTCTGGCACCATTCCACGTGAGATGCCGGGGAGCTGAGAGCTGGGAAAAGCGGGAGAGCTGGCAGGAGACCAAGAACATTTCCATCAAAAATTTCATTGGAATAGACATTTTCATGCAACGTGTTAGGTTTTGGTGAACCGGCGTTAGCTGAGGGAAAAATGTTCCACTGGAAAGTTTCCAGTTTGTCCCGGTGCTGAGATCTTGACACTCGGACTTCGTGCTTTTCATTCAGCTGAAGAATGGATTTTTATTTCCCGGTGTCATGCACAGAGACAGAATGTAGTTTTACTGTACTGCCGATTGTATAAAATGATTTCTCCTGATAGTGTAAAAAGAAGCTTTATTTTGCCATCTGCAGCAAGTGCTGCTGTCTCATACCTCCATGTTTTTTGGCATCTCCTCACCCCCCAGTGTCTTTCCTCTAAGTGGATCACAAGGAGTGTCAGCAGAGTGGTGAGACCACTAGTTTGTACTCAGAGACAGATTTTAGTATCTCTCTCTGGAACACAATTTCTGTCTTACTGTGTTAGTTCAGTAGGGAAAACAGTACACCTTGCATTGTTATTAAAATTAGTATGCATGGATTCTAACAATAAACCTGTAACAGTTCTGACAAGTGTAAAAAGTGTATTAGCTTCAACTACTGAACTTCAGAAATCTCTTGAAAATGAAGTATTTAACACTATCTTGAGGAAAGACGTCACAAAGTTGTGGCACAAAGCTGAAGAAGAGAAGGTACAGCACTGGATGAATAGTCAGCTGTACATTGAATGCAAATACAACACACCCACACACACTTCAAATATTTGATTCCACAGATTCTTCAGGACAAAAATGTATATGCAATATATATAATTTAGCTCATCTTATTCAAGCTGCACATGTGACAATTATGAGCTTATTGGAGAACCTGATCCATGTTCAGCTCTGTCAGTGATGGGACACCACAGAACTGGACCGTTCCTGCACACTTAGCTCCTGACCTGCCTCTCAGAACACTAATTCATTACACCCCATTCAGGAAGTGATCTCACTGGAAAATCTGAGCAAAACATAGGACAGAAGTTCCAGACTCAAAAAGCTAAGGAATGTTCTTTCCCCCCCTACCTTGTCTTCTTTTAAATGAATTTAGTCGTTGTGAAAAGCATCAAATGGACAGTCCAAGGACCGAGGACTGTTGTGGGTGCACAATGTACAGACACTTTCAGTGTTCTCCTTTCACACTGATGTGTGATAGAACTTCACTCAAAAACTAGTGCAGAGATATTCACCCTTAAGCCTGAGGGTGAATATCTTTATAATCACAAAGACACTTTATTAATGCAACAATTCATCCCCTAAGCTTTTGAGTTCTCATAGCAGAAAAAAACCTGAACAACCCATTCTCACCTGTAATTCTCACTACTGGTAGTGTGGTATTATCCTTCAGTCACAAAGTCTTAACTTTGAGCATGGGCACCAAATTTGAGCTAAAATCAGGATTAAACATATGCCTATAGGATTGCTGTCTTGCTTTTGGTAATGAA